AAACAATCACAAGAACAACCATAGTTAATATTGCAGAAGAGAAACCCAAAAAGCGGTACAAAGAAGCAGATGGAGGCCATGTTTAATTGAACAGAGAGAAGGAAATATCCGAAGCATCAGTTTGCGGTTGGGTTTGTTTCTATTTTCCTGAGAGAGAATTAGAGGGCTGCAGGGAGGGCAAACGGGTGGATGAGAGTTGGTGAACACACGTGTTGGTGTGGATCGGGGGTTAGTACAGGCTCTGACACTGACATGGAGGGTGGCTGAAAACGACAGGGCAAAACAGAAGTATGAGGTAGAGAGTGGAGAGACACAGAAGGGGAATATATAGAAAAGTGATTCATGATGAATAAACATGTGTGTTTGGGATTGTGGAGTGAGAAAAAAAGGCTGAAGATTCACGTTAATGAAGAGCAGGGTGAGAAAAAGCCAGCGACACGACAGAGGTCGGCTGTGCTTCCTCTCTGTCTCCACAGGGTCGGGGCCAGAGAGGAGTCATGTCCCCTCCAGTGCTGGGTGACATATAGGGGCTACGATGGCTCTTCCTCCTTCATGTCTTTATCTGTGCCGCACTCGGCTACACAAACGCAGATAACGTGTGCACCCGAGTGCACACAAGTACACATGCAGCCCACTCGGACGTGCGCATAAATATGCACCCTTATGCAACTCGTGCAGATATTGCACAAACATGCCGGGTGCACAGAGCCGCAGCCTCTGTGGGTATGACATCAAACACACACACGCACACACACACACACGTGCAAACTCCCTCACATGTACAGTGTGTACGATTAACCTAAACAGAGATGTGAAGCGACAGGGTGTCTCTCAGTGTCATTTTAATTTCTTGTCTTATATTTTTCTCCTCCTTTCTCTCCTCCTGTTCCTCTTGGCCCCGGGGGACGGGGGGGGGGGGGGGGGGGGGGTCAGGAGCAGATAGATGGAGCCTTCATGTGAACTAAGATAATGACATGTAAAAGTCAGACATAAAGGATAAAATGCTAATATAATTTTAGCATTCTCTACGCCATCTACAGGAAATATGTGGACATTGCAGGGAATAGGCAGAAATATAATCACAATACAAAACAGTTATATAATTTGGCGGGCCGGATTACAAAGCTGAATGGGCCGCATCCAGCCCCCGGGCCTTAGTTTGCCTGGGTTAGATAAAAGTAGCTTAATTACATTTAAAAAACACCATAAATGAATAAAGTGAAAAATTAGAGAAGAAAAAATATTAAAATAGAGTTCATTCTGTAAAAATGTGTAGGTTGTTTTTTTAAAGCTTTTTCAAATTATTATTATTAATATTTATAATATTATTATTGTATTTTTTAGCTTTCAGTTGTAATAGTTTTTTATAATATGGCTTCAAAATATGTTGTGGCTCTGTAGCACAACAGCAGTAGAAGAGACTCTCTCTCTCTCTCACACTCTCTCTCTCTCTCTCACACACACACACACTTACAGTGTGTGAAATTCTGTGTGTATGTGTGTGATAAGATCATGTGACCAGCTCTGTGTGAATCTGTGATTTTTCCAAATTGGAGAGAGAGAAACAGTGGAAATCTAAACCTCAGCTGTGTGTGTGTGTGTGTGTGTGTGTGTGTGTGTGTGTGTGTNCGTGGGGGGGGGGGGGGGGGGGGTGTGATGGTTGCTGGGCTCCACTGCCGGCCCGACCCTTTGAACATGGCACGGCCGTGATAGGCAACACGGGAACACCACAGATTGTGCGCTTCACAGACCGTCTGCTGATTGTCACTCGTCGCAGTTCATGGACAGAGGAGTTAAAAATATAAGTTGCGAGGCTCGTGTCACACAGGCTGTGAGCAGAAATGAGAGCAGACGTGAATGGAGGGTACGCAGGGCCAGACTGGATAAATAAATCAGCACCAATGAGAAAAGCAGCATGCCTCGCTGGCTGGCATGTGGGGGTGGAGACAAGAAAGGGTAAAGAAAAATCAATATCTTCAGTAAAAGTTTATTTCGTATTGATGACTGTTTACAACTGTATTCTGCTCCTTCTCTCTTTAAACTTCTTTCACAGGAAGGATGCTGCAGATCTGATGCAAAACTCTGCTGGAAGGATTATCTGGGTCAGGCCAGATTTCTGCTGCGCTCTGTTCTTCACCTCCACGAGTCCAAACAACTTCTGACCCTTAGCGTTCATGTCTAGTCAGCGTTTGACCTCACCTTCTCCTGGGGCCTGTGCCACTGCAGTAAACAGATAAACATTCCACTGTTCAGAACCACCTATCTGTATCCATGGGGCGACTGCTGTCTCCTCTCTTTTTGCATTCAACAACAGACCTAAATTTCCACTTCAAAGGATTGCACCATATTCCGTGCCCTCCGCCCACCTTCAAACAAACACACACGAGGATGGTCCCGAATCACGCCGCTCATCTGGGAAGCAGGCTGCTCCAGATGGATGAGGAATAAGTGGGGAAAAAAAGGAAACCTTAAACTGTGAGTGTGTGTAATCTGAGCACCTGTGCTGAGTCAGTGCAGACCTTAATAGTAGCACGAGTTATCAAAGTTCACTTCTTCAAGTCTCAGAATCAGTCAACCTCCTCCTCAACTGGTGTCTTCTATTCCAGACCGGAGCTGTGACATTCCCGATTATCCGCCGCTCTCTGAAAACGAACCACCTTCAGGGCCGTGTTTTGAACACGTTCCTCCAGACAGTGAGTGTTCAGCTGGCGTCAGAATTTACTCTGAGCAACTTAAAGTTAATGAGAAACAGTGTGAGCTTCACAGAGACGGGAGATATTTTTATCTCATAAAGATGACAGTGGTCCCATGTCCCACTTCATGGTTTGCTTCTACAACTTTGCGCATTGCAGAACAATGCAACCGTTAACTAAAAATGACAACAGCTCCCCGACCGTGATGTAGCAGCGGGAGTTGAACAAAAGGTGCAGTGCACAACGTGATCGAACGGGGAGGCAATCTTAGGGGAGCGCCGAGTGGATCTGAGGGAAGGGCAGTAAGTAAACAGGTAGTAAGTGAGTGAGTCTATTTTATGCTGTGCATTCTCAAGAGAGAAACCAAAGCTATTTCTCTGCTGATTATTTACATCACTAAACACTTGATGTCATTTCACGGTGATAAATCACTACTTTAGGATTTTATTCAGCAGAACAAGATTACTGTAGTAGACAGTCTGATCCAATATGAAAGGAAATACAATATATACCATTATATTAGGAGAGAATTGGCCACGATAAGAAGACTAACCCTGTGACTGACTGACTGTACCAGGTGATGTCATGAATCATTATTCTTAGCCTAAAGCTAGCAACTTAGCTGATAAGAAAAATGCTTGTTCATATTATCAGAGACAGGAGGAACCAAATATTTCAATCAATTGCCAAAACGCAAGTATTTAAACTATTTTATTTTATTTTATTTAAGTCTATGGTTTCATCACTCCAAGGATAATGTATTTGACTTCTTTCTGTCTCATGCATAATGATGGAATTCATCCAGTTAATGTTTAGAATCGGCATTACAAGGTTTTCACATGACGTCCCCATTTATAAAGCATTCATGAGGAGCTCTCTGCTGAAGCCGTGTTTCTGCTCAACTATTCCCATTAATCGGTGCTGTACAATTACATGGGCTGTGAGCGTGTCCCATTTTAGCTGTTCCACTGACTTTGTGGGTTTTTCCTCCTGCGTTCTTCCCAGCAGTGTCCACTGACCCACGGCTAAGTGACACGGAGGAGATTGTCATCTGGGATGAGGCACCACTCATCACTCCCCCACCACAGCCCACACATACAGTCCCAGCCCTGTGACTCTTCACAGCTCAGAGCTCGGAAGATAACTTCAAATGGACATCTTCTCACCAATGGCACAACGAGCAAGGCAGCAGAAAACACAAACCGTGTTCTAATCCACCAGCCGCTCTCAAATGGGAGACACCTTAACAGGATATAAAGCAAACAAGCGTGAATGTCAGCAGCAGAGAGGTTTGCGTTAACCTCCACTGCACTCAGCTGCAAATAGTTTAAGAAAGCCTCGCCTCAATCAATACGTCAGTGTCAGAGTAGGTGTTTGTCTGCGTATCAGCGTGTTTGCCTGGTTGATAAGTGGCTGGAGGGCAGGGTTTTCACAGTGACGAAACAGTAAAATGTCTAAAACTCCAGGCGTCCAGTGTGAGCAACACTCCACTGACACATAAAAAGGCCTCGCTTTCAAAAATGTGATGGAACACGACAAAGCATCTGAAAGCTGGTGCCATTACATCAACCTTTCACCAGTGTGATGGTGATACATCCAGGCCCTTTCCTGCCAAAACCCCGCAGCAGAGGAGGCATGAAGCATAGCGAGGCAAGGATGCTACTGGGGGGTGCTAGTGGGGGGGAAAGAGCGCTGGGGCGACAGTGGCACAGAAAAGACTGCTCCACTTAACGGATTCACAACAGCCGCCGTGTGCGGAGATGAGGTGCAATGTGTTGCTCTGCTCTCATGTACTGTCCTGTGTGATAATCCTCCAAGAAAAACACTCATCATTCACAGCTCTATTTGTTGAAAATGAGCGCTGTTGTCTAGGAAATACATCAGTGACGCCATGTGCATCAATAACAGACAGCACTTACTGTTAAACTGCTACAAACCCATCAGACTTAGTGGTGAAAAAGTGAAGCCAAACATCCCCTTTGTACAGGAACGCAATACAAATCTCTGAGTCTAAACTCATCTGAGAAGAACGTGCACTGGACTGTGACTAGACTAAAGACTGGAGGTTTTTTCTCACAATGCTGACCAGAAACTGCATCCCACCTGTGGTAACACAGGACTTAAAAACCAATAAAACACAGCCCTGCACGGTTTAATGTACACCATTATGTTTAGAATGATAAGTTAAATGACTATCGTAGTCATTTACCATGAAAACAGCCACTGAAATTGCACATCAAATATCACTCCACTTACCAAGTGTTACTTAAGTACAGACCTCTCTAAGCAGGTTGTTTTGGGAATGCGTTTTTTTTTTTTTTTTTTTGAATGTGACTGAGGACAATAATTTAAGCTCCTGTCATCACTTACACCACAGGCGACCCATTTTCGGCAAATTTCATTTGCTAAAACATCACAGCAGCATCTAATGCAACATAGTGTATCATAGTGTCTCTGCTTTAACATAACTTTCTCACTGCCTGTGAAAAAGTGCAGGCCTCATTCTTCTGGTGACTATTGCGTCACTCAGACAAAACACAGGGCTACATTGTCTATAAACAGACGCCACTGTGTCTCTACATGGCTGGTGTGAAATAAATTATTGCAGTGAAAGTTTAGGCGGAAGATGTTTTATCCTGGTTGCCCTATAAGCTGCCAGCAGAAACAGCTCACTCCACTATGAAGCACTCCAGGCCAAGACAATTTGTTCAGGGTAATCAATTGGACGGCTTAAGTAGTTAGATAAACAAAAACTGCCACTTGCCTGGACAGCTAGTTTTGGCAGGTGCATAAAAAATGTATACAGAATGAGATGTTCTGTCAAATGGACTCACTGACCCCAGAGGAACAGACCTTTCATTGTTTAGGAGCGTCCAAAAAGATCGAGGGAGAGAGTGGAAAAAGAGGACGGTCAAGGTCATCACCAAAATAAACAGTAGAATCACACACAGCAGTTCCCTCAGTCATTTTATAGTGGGCTACAGGAAGTGTGTGGTGGTGCAGGGGGTTGTTCTTCCAATTTTTATAAATGTTTACAGGATAAAAAGCAAACCAACAGACTGAACTTCCTTTCCCCTTTGCTCTTAGTTGTTAGTTGTTACCGTTAGCACAACCAAACTAACAAAAGCCACCTGTACAATTGCACATGTTTGCAAACAGGCAACAACATTACATTGGTAAAAGGTTTGCAGTGGTAAACAGTACTACACTCCATTTGTCCTCATTTCCATCCATACGTACTGTTTAAATTCCAGAGGTGAACAAACAGGCACTGGTGTAATTCACCTACTCCCTGAACGGCTGACTGAGTGGCACAGCCAACAGGGCATTTCCATGTGAGTGTTGGGAGTGTGTTCAGCACACTGTGACTCACACACTGCTGCACTGTGACTATGCGTCTCCAGCTCAAGCGAAGCTCTCCCTCTATCACCCAGCATCAATAACATGGCCTCTGGTTTGTAGCACTTTACAGGAGCAACAGGAGCGACACAATGCTTTCTAAAGTTATGAGCTACTACAGCTAACCGGGGGTGCAGTGGCATCTGAAGAATTAGGGCTAAATAGCTGTTTTAACAGTCCTTGGTTTGAGCCTCTGATGTACACGAAACTCTCTCTCTCTCTCTCTCACACACACACACACACAAACCACCTTCATACCCACCAGCACGGCCACATGATAATTTCTCTGTCATTTGCACAGCAGCAGATGAATATGTAAATAAGCTGTGAGAGGAATATGGATCCCCTGTGTTGGGAAAGAAATACAGTATGTTAATGAGTGTTGCAGGGTAAAAGTGTTAATCACAAGTGTAGGGTGCATAGATGCATTTAGCAATGGTGGCCTATGTAAATTAAATGCATAGGGGAATAAACGCGTTTAAATTGCCTGACTCAGTTACATAAAATCAGCATCTTACGAAATGTAGTCACGGGGGTAAAAATAAGTCTAACATCCGACGAGCCACATTATGTGGCCAATGGCACCTGGCAGTTTGGAGGGGAAGAGAAAAGGGGACGACAAAAATTCTATACCTTTCTGTTCTCCTCTCTTTAAACTTCAAATCAAGACACGATCATCACGGCTGCTGCAGCCGCAACGGTTGTCCGGGAAACCAACTGCCAGGGTGCTTATGGAGTTGGAGCTGATGTGGGGGGGTGAGATGGTGGTGTGAGAGGTGGAGGGGTTATTTAATGCGTGTACATGGGTACAATGTTCCAGCTTAGTTCTTTCCACTGAAACTACACCACACTTTCTTGGAGTGAATATTGGCCACAAAAAAGAACATGGATGACACAGGGATGTTTTTACGAGAAACTGTTGATGATGCTGTTTGCTGCAATAGAGCGTAGCCATGGCGACAAGGTGTTGACAGAGCGCCATACTGCTCCAAGCACTGTGATGGCGGTGACATTCAGGAAAGCACAGAAAGTGACTGTGAGTGAGCTTGTAAACCAGAGCAGGGCCTTTCCTGTCCCCGTGTACAGAAAAGAGAACCCAGTGCTGACCGTTTCAGATTCACCATGTCTTCTCCTCTCAAGCAGAACCGAAGGAATGCAGAGAGAGTGATAATGTTGAACAGAAAGAAAAGGATCAACAGAAATAGCCACCAATTTTCACAGACTTTCACTGCTATTTTATGTGCCAGGTTTTTAAATGTTCAAAGTGACCTTTTCTAACAGAACATCTCTCATAATTATACCCATTGTAATTAGCTAATTATAATAACAATAACAATATTACAATTAAGATAACACTTGATTAAAAAAACAGAAAATAATCAAAACTAGGTAAAAACCCAAAATAAAAAAAGAACACTTATATGGTTTTGTTTGTTGTTTTTTTTAAAAGAGATCTATAAGTTTCTATATTTTTTTTTTCTTCATTGAATTGTCCTTCTTCATTAGAAAAAATTCATCCACCACTGAATACTGTACGGTATGTCACCTCCTCCGTTAGCCAGCAAGCGTTGCTTACCTTTAAAAATGCTCAGCAATGCCTGTCATTCCTACTGCCATGAAATCCACTCATACACGATTACACTGAGATACAGTTGAGAAATCATCCTCTGCAGAGGAGCAGTCTTCAAAGGTTCATGTCCTGTCTAATGCATGATAACATGAGGGGTCCTGACCGCTTGAGGCATCAAGAGTGGACCAGTCAGTGGGCACTGGATGAGGGGGCCATTTTGAAGGCCCAGCCTTTTAATGCTGATGCATGTGGAGTTCACTTTGTGGCACAATGTGTCCGTCCAGCTTCTGTTCATCAGTCCGACAGGTCGACAGTTCAAAGACGACATCAGTGTCATATACAAATGGAAATTAAAGTACTTTTTAGCTCTTTGTTGCCATTCGCCGTAACAACAATGATCATTTTAATGATAGTAATGACAACATCGTAACTTGTTCTTTATCATCATTTTATTATATTACTGTCCAGGCAGATAAAGCCAATGGAAAATGCATGCTAAATCAGCATTTTCGACTTTCCACAAACAGTCCCAACTTTTGATAATAATAATAACGACTTAGCTTGTTGTCATTATCAACATTATGATCATTATTTTTACTTCTGTGGCCGAGCTAGATATCAAACGACGAGGAGCTGCTGTTGTATTCCATATTTTCACGTTAGCATAAAGATCCGCCTTCATGGATGACCCTGTAAGTGTGAATGTGACAGGAAGGAGAGAACACTTTTTGTAGCTACAAAAAAGTCGTGACCAAAATAAATTCACTCAAATTCACTTTGCCAGGTTTTTGTTTTTTGTCTCTTTCAACAGATGCCTTTCTCCCACGTGTCCTTCAGTTGCACAGTCAAAACAGCCATCTTATTCCGAGTGGAAAGAAGTGGTGAGAGACAGCCACAACACCAGCTGTGCATGTATGTGTTGTTTTATATATTCTTCAGTCGTTCAGTCAGAAGCTCGATAAGGATTCTTTATAATTTATTTCTTTGAATGAAAATATATTTACGGTATATATAACATGTACTTTCGGTCCCTTTATATACGCCTCTCGTTGTCCTTTAATCCCACAGATTTTTTTTTCTTCTCCAATGGGATCTCTTTTTTTTCTTCTTTCGAGATAACAGTAGCCACTAAGGTGTAAAAGGGATAAAAGTGAGAGTGAAAAAAGGAACAACTCCTGTTGTTTGTTTTGTCTCTTTGCAGACAATTAGTCTTTAAAGGTGTCCTGGACAGGAGCCCTCCATCGCTCTGATCCTGCTTGTCTTGTTTTTTTCTTGTACTTCCTGGAAACCTGGGACGAAACCATTCAACGAACCAATTGTTTGTAATTGAGTGTCTCTGCCAAACACTAATCTTACACCATGGTCAACAACATGGCCAGTAATATGCCTTTTTACCGTATATATACACTGAATAGGTCTGGGAATATATGAAAAAATCTGTAAAAAAAAAAGAAAAAAGAAAAAAGAAAATCTCATTCCACTCTGATTGCAGATACAAATTGTAAGAGTTGGCCTGATCCTGGGCTTTGGCAAATCCTTCAACACGTCACACAAGTGAAGAATTCTGGTGTTGGCTGTTTACATTGTGTCGTGGTCTTGTGTTGATTTAGTAGAGATGTATGTGCCAATGCAATTATCTGACTGGTGCTGATCAGATAGTGTCCTTTGTCTCTCCCAGTCTAACTATCTACTACTCTCTGTCAACATATAACACAAAGCAGTGACTATGTCAATTTTGTTGTTGCTGGAATCTGTCCGTAAGGACAGTAGGCTACAATCAGTCTCATATGCTAAAAATTGCTCCCTCTACCATTCTGCAGGGTGCCTTTCTTCTTAAGTCTTAACTTCCGCTCTCACTTTTACTCAGATTTGTGTCTCTTGCACATTTTCTTTTGAGCCATTCTTGAACAGCAGTGGCTCATTCTGGCCTTTACTCATTAGGCCTTTCAGGGAACTGTGGAGACCCAACTGCGGCAGGGGCACAGGTGAGGGCAGGGGGCCAATTGTGGAGTTTCCTCCACTGGTAGAAGAAGGAACCTGTGAACAGGATAAGGATGTGTTCTGAGAGCACGACGAAGGATTGTTGTTGTTGTTGAGGCCCATGCCAGAACCAACGCCCATTCCCAGACTCATCATGTTGTTGTTGAAGTGATGGGATTTGTAATAGTGGTTAAGGTGGTCTGATCGGGCCAGATTTGGCAGATTGACCATTTCTGGGTGGTGCAGTCGCAGGCTCTGGCCTCCTCCTATTCCGCTACTTCCACTCTGTGCCACAGTGGATCCTCCAGATATTCCACTGCCACGTCCACTGGCCCCCGCACTGAGTTCATCCTCCACATTGATAATCTCAATGGCACGAGCAGGGCCGTGGTGTTTATGTAGCTGATGCTGCTTCCTCAGCTTGTAGAATACCACCAGCATCACAGCTGCCATGAAAGTAATGGCTACGAAGCAGCCAATGATGATCTTGGTGGTTTTCATCACATCATCTAGGCCTGAGAAACCCGGTTCATGTATAGGAAGGGTGAAGGTGGGCTGGGTGGCCCAAGGAGAGGAGGAGGACCAGCCAGCAGACAGGGAAGAGGGTGTGGTAGAAACACCATCCAGCCACACGTGGCCTGAAGGAGTGGGTCCATGTTGGACGTGGATGAACGTCTCGTTGATGGCAACCAGTGCCGAGTCTTCATCTCCTGTGGTCTCAGATTCGACGGTGACCGTGGTGAAGTAGGTGTAGTTGACACTGGCATCTGCAGCAGTGACATTGAGTACAGCAGTCGCCGTGGTGTTTCCAGCGGCATTGGTGACCATGCAGGTGTACTGGCCCGTGTCTCTCAGGGTGACATTTGTAAAGTTGAGCGTGCCATCGTGCAGGACTGATATCCGCACTCGATAAGAGCCGTGGGTCATCAGGGTGCCATTAGGAGTGATCCAGTTGACAGATGTCATAGAGGTGCTTGTGCGGCATTTTAGCTCAGCAGCCATACCTTCAGTGACATTAAGGTCTGTAGGTGGCTCCACAATTACCGGAGCAAAGCAGGTGAAGTGGCTTTGGTCGAGCTCCCCAATGTACTTGCCCTTCAAGGCAGGAGGAGCGTGACAGCGGGCACAGCAGGTGGTGTTGCTGGGCACCGTCTCTTTCAGCCACCAACTAAGCCAAAGCACATCACAGTTACAGACCCACGGATTGTGATTGAGGTGTACTCTCTCCAGCTGATGGAGTGGTGTGAACAGGTCATGGGGCAATGAGTGAAGGGAGTTGTGGGACAGGTTAAGTTCCTCTAGGCTTTTCAGGTCATCAAAGGCATTGCGTTCAATGACCGACACTTGCGAGTGCATGAGCCACAGCTTGCGAAGAGACACTAAGCCCTGAAAGGAACCAGGTCGAATGATCTCTAACCTGTTCCCAGAAAGCTCAAGTTCCTCTAGTCGCACAAGGGCCGTCAGTTTAGGAATGTCTTTCAGTCCGCACATACCCAGGTTCAAGTACCGTAAATTGATGAGGCCAACAAATGCTGCATCCGAAATGAAATCCAACTTCTTGAGTTCGCCAAGGTCCAGCCGACGTAGCGATGGGATGCGGTGGAAGGCATAGGCAGGCAAAGTCTCAATGGGGTTGTTGCGTAGCCAGAGCTCCCGCAGCTTGCTGAGGTACTCGAAGGCATGTGATGGCACCAGTGTGAGGCGGTTGTCAAAGAGCTCCAGTGTGTTGAGGTTTGGGAGGCCATTGAATGCTCCAACTTCAATCTGACGGATCTGATTTTTGGAAAGCTGCAAGATCTCCAGATGTCTCAAGTGCTTGAATGTGTCGGACTTGATCACCTGGAAACACAAAGATTGAAAAAAATACTCAGTGTACAACAGGTTCAATGGTAACTTGGGATTGCAAACAAAAAGGATTTCTGTAGTGGTGACCCCACTGTTTCCCAACTATTATATATTTATATTTTTTGTAAAACACACAATACATGCAATTTTATAAAAATATTTCCAGCTTGTGCTTAAAGTTTGGGTGAAAAAGTTGAGCTTGTCAAAAGTATTTACTATGACAGTCAGCCGTCAGTGACACAAGGCAGTTGCATATGCAGGATTTTTGTTCAGAAATAAAATATGAGGCATGATGGAAGTTTAGCTTGGATTTGTTCCAAGGAAACAACTTTATATATATTATATATTTAGTTTCACCATCAACATCAAAATATTTATGCAGCTTTAATTTGTTTTGTCTTTTTTTTCTAGTATTGAATTAATTTACTTTATTTAATCACATATTCAACAAAGGCGCTAAATACATTTACTTTTGGGGTCCTTACGTAAACAGTGGAGTAAATCTAGCTTGAACCCAGATCTGTTTGTAACCCTGGCCTTATTTCAGTGCAGCCTCCTGACACTGTAGTGCATTTCACAGTGTTGTTTCAATGAGACTCGGGGGACGTTCTGCTGAAACCTTATTATGCTTCCATAATGAAACGATTAACGGTGTTGGACTGTTACACCATTGACACCATTCACAAAGTAATATAAATTATTATTTTATTATTTTAAATGGATTCTCACAGATGTTTCGTCCATATATTAAACAGACATTATGTACTTTTTCGAGGCCACCAAAAATGTTCTGTACATATTGTGGAAATTACCACAAACACTAGCAAACAAAGGTTTGATTTTGGATAGAAGCTGTCAAGGCTTTACTCTCACCGTACTAAGTTAAGAAAAACTAGGATACCCTCAGGTGTTCAAACATTTTTAGATTTTTAATTATTTCTAACGGGGCTGCGGGATAGGATAAACGGAAATGCAATCTGTGGGCTGAAAATGAAAAGCAAAAAAAAAAAAACAAACGCCTTACTGTTTTCACTTTTATTAAAAACAGTATCTGTGAAAACTGCACACCCGGAATCATGCAGCCTTATGTCCCATTTATGCTCCATTACCTCCACATAAGCGTTAATAAGATATTTTCTCTGAGGAATAAGGGATACGTGGCTGCTCTGCCCAACGTACAAAGCAGTTCAACGCGATTAGAGATGCACTAGACAAGTTTAACAATGTGGTGGAAGTGTATTCCTTTTCATTAGTGTAATAGAAATAAATGTATACACAGTGTAGGAACAACGCGTTGTCAGCAGCATGACAGGTAATCCAATTACTTGAAATGCTGCAGCAAAATAGTAAATCCAGAACACTCCCTGTGTTTGGAGATGTGGAGATGTGTTTGCTTTGTTTTGATGATCTGTGGTTAAGTGATCTTCCCTCCCAGCTGTACAGCCACAGAACACCATCAAGGGACAAGGGATTCATGGGTAAAGCACACAAAAAGTCAGCACCGTGTCATGGAATAAAATGCCTTGTTTTCAAGTCTCAACGCTGTTTGTCCCTCAGGTGAGACCGGGACTCACTGTTAAATAATGCACTTGTTTTTTTCACTGTCTTCTCTCCAAACCTGACTTAACAAATAGCTGATTATGGCTCATAGATTTATAATAAATAATAATGTATAATAATTAGATTAAAAAACAATGTCACACAAACTATAATAGTATATATTATAAACTATAATCTGTAGTTTGATCATATTTGACTGGCCAAATGAATACTACATATTAAACCGCAGCAAAGGAAAAACTGTTTCCTGGACTTATGGTTAGTCAGCACCGACACTCAAGAACCAAACCAGACCTTTTTGAGCAGGATTAGACCTGGCTTAGTCCTAATATTAAAATCTGAGCTGAAGAGTGTGTTAGTACAGCAACCCCGCAGTCGTCTGAGTGTCCCTCATATGGTGGCATTGAAGTTTTAATGCATCAACCCCTAATGGCTCCAGATGTATGCATAATGAGCAGCAATTCCCTCTGCTAAATGCTAATTGTTAAATGTAGATAATGTAGGCATGGGTTTCTGGGATTCTGGATTTTCTACCACAGTTGGGTTTCTGCCGAACTGAGGAAATACTGTGGATTGAAACCAGACATATTTCTATGTCTGGACACAGTGTTACTCATGTGTTACTAATTTAAATGAATGCAACATCATTCAGTTAATAGACAGTTTTCTTTTTCATCCTCCACCATATATGTTTCAAGCCAATCCAGTTGTGCCCTGGCTAACTGTATATCCTGATTTTCAAAACTATATTTGGTTTAGTTTCCTAATTTCTAAATAATCCTTGTTCCAATAGGATATGATTTTATTAGTGTTTGGTGGAAATGACACAAAAGCACATGCATTTGTTGTGGTTATTTGAAATAACACGATCCATCCGTGGGCTCTAGAATCCTCCCTCCTCCCCCCTCTGTGAATAGAATCAATCTCCAGTCTGAGAGAAAGCGTTGATTAATGTGTCTTTGTACCCACGGAAGGGAAAAATCCTTTGTCTGTCACATAGGAATTGCCTCTTCTATCAATAACTATACAAATGGCAACACTTAGAATAAATGAAATCAATACATGTATTAAGACATGTCAACGCGGCATGTGAGAAAAAAAAACAAAACATCCTCTGCACTGGAATGTGAGAGATAATAAAACGTGTGTTTTTTCTGTTTGATTTATGTTGTAATGCAGGTGTTAATAAAAATGAGACTGAACCATGACCTCCAGTCGCTCATCTGTGTTTGAGGAACAAGCACCAGCCGAAAGAAATCAATAAGATCCCCAGACAGGCATAAAATTGCGAGACGTGGTTTGATTTATAGGAATAAATAAAAAGCAGCATTTGTCTCATAAAGACTGTTGTTTCCCATCTCTGTGGTGTATGTAAATGGACCGTATTTACAACGCTCCTAGACTAACTGACGCCGTCCTCACTTCACCCCAAAGACCTTTACCTGGATAGAATTCTCCTGCAGGTTGAGGTATCGTGTGTTGACGGATATGCTCTCCGGCACCTCATCCAGGCTCTGCCTGGTGCAAATGACTCGACTGGCCTGGTTGGAACAGGTGCAGAGGGAGGGGCAGGTGGAGGCAGCTCCGACGGACTCTGGCCCAGGGAGGAAGAGCTGCAGCAGGAGCTGGGCGAGTAGAAAGAGGAAGGGGGAGGGGCCGGGAAGGCAGGTCAACGTGGCGATGGGCATGGCAACTGGGACATGACCCTGCTCTTTATTCTGAAGGTACAGCTGAGGTGAGTCCACAACGGTGGAGTTTCTTTTGAGAGTAGGGTGACGTTCCACGTTGGTCTCCGATCCTGAAGTGTTCCCTTTAACGCCGCATCTTCTGAAACGTTCTATTTGTCCTGGTTATTTCCGTTGCTTTCCCCGCGTGAATTTCTTTTCTTTTCTTTCACAAATAAACATGTAGATAAACAGTTGTTGATGTTATTCCCTTCTTCTTCCCAGTGTCCTTTGATTTAGACTTTTTGTGAAGCGAGTAGAACCCAGGAGTCGCTGTAAAAGAACAAAAGAGAGAGAAAAGGGATAGAACAGATATTAAAGCTGCAGCACAGACAGGGATTCATGTTTGCACCAGTAAAGAATGAAAAGAACAAACAGCACGTAGACGTCTCCAGTACACTTTATCATGGGAGAGGCTGTCAGGAAATCTGGGAGAAGCATTAGAACTCCTTTGTCACTGCTTATATCAAATCTCTCTTAATCCCTCAGCAGACTTTATTTTACAGAAATCAAATTCTCCCAGCCAGAGGAGGAGTAGGGCCATTTGTAATCAACTGTTTATAGTGATGAAACCAACACAGAGGACATGTAAGAAATAAGTACAAAGAGTCAATGATGTTGGCTTTGAAATGAATATATGTGCATGACGAGAGAGAGAGACACAGTGGAAACTTCTGCTAATTGTTTCTGAATGGCCTTCATCCATGTTTATTACTTAACAAAGCCTAAACTATTGGACATTTTGGTTGACCTTCAATGACCTACAACAGGGGGTCAAACTCATTTTCACTGTGGGCCTCATCACCAATACAGTTCTCCTTGAAGGGCCGGTTGTAAATGGAAGACTGTATAGATCAGGGCTCCGTGGACCAGTACCAGTCCATAGGTCATTTGGCCCCGTATGACCTATAATCATGCATTTGTGAAAGTTACAAAAGTTACAGCTGAGTGAATAAATCAGGCAAATTCCGATTCTCCATCTCTAATCTGGAAGGCTAAATTCCAAACTCCTAAACTGACACACTTACCTAGATGCAATAAAACTAAAACCTGTGATTGAATTCATCAGGCAGATGGACAGATAAAATAAACTCTCTGTTAGTTCAACACAAACTAAGGAAAAGACAAAAATATTTTGCAAGACATAAAGACGGACTGAAGTCTGGGCTCAAAAATTGCCACCAATATTTTGTGCTAATACTCTGTGTTTTCACAGGTTATTCTTATAACAACCTCATTACTTAAACAAAACAAACAAAAAAAAGCAATGGGGTTTTGAGAGCCGTGGTTTTACTACTGAGAAGCAATAATACCACCACAAGTGTGACACAGAGGCTTCCAGTTATCTCAGCCACAGTCTCGCTTGTTCATGTTAATTACACCACGCTACTGCAATTAATACGACAATGACATATTGATGTTTGAGCAATGCCATCACCTTTCTTTAAAGCCGTACTCATCAAGGTTGGTTCCAGACCTCTGAAACAACATGAGTCCAGTTTGACTCTGTGCAGCAATGCAGACACAACTGTGGAGCTAAAAGGCTAATTCCTGTGTGAGCACACTAGTGCATGCTCATGGGACCGGAGGACGGTAGCGAGTGGTGCAGTCTACATTAGCACTAATCTATGAGCAGCTCTCGTCAGGCTCCACCAACCTGAAGAGCCACAGCACTTCCCTCTGCTGCTTATTTAGACCTACAATAGATAACCTCAAACTAGGTCATCTAGCCAATCCAGATTTGACTCTTAAGGATGGCACTTGTAATGAGGGGACTTTGACACAGGGACTAATTTGACACGTTGATCATCTTCATGCAGGATAAGGAAAGAGACCAAGGTGGAGAGAGAGAGAGAGAGAGAGGGAAGAAGGAGAAGAATGAGAAGGAGAGGATTATTAATCTGATAGATGACTGTATGGCTGCAGGCAGAGGAGGGAATTATCAACACTACAGTAATAGATGAATACTGAGAAGCTGCAGAGAGTGAGCCGGCATAAGAGAGAAATGGAAGGAGAACGGAAGAGATAGCGACAGAGACAGATGGAGAAAAGGTTGAGTGAAAAACACGATGAGGGATAAAGACCCAGAGAGAGGCATGAAGAGTGAGAAGAGCAGAGAGGAGATCAGTAGTAAAAGACAGATTAAAAGTGAAAGAGGGGAGAAAATAAGGAGGGAGAGAAGAGGAGACGCATTAATATTAATAACTTAAGAGAGTGAGGGAGAAAGAAAGAGTGGGAGCTCAGTAGAATGTCCATAAAAAGAAGTGGAACAGAATGATAACATGAGAACACATATGAAACAGGGATCAGATACAAGATCATATATATGGATGTATATATATTAACTGTCAAACCACATTCATTAATTTGTGCATTTTATTACATTAAAATGTTTAATCCACAGGAAGTGCACACACACTGTACATCCACTCATTTCACCGTCCAAAAAGTTTTCATTTCACCAAAGCTCCTCCAGTTTGAAACACCAGCTCAACTTCAGGTCAGACGCCTGGGCTGTGTCAGACCAACCTGACTGAGCAGAGTGTGGGAGACTGTAGCCCGAATAACATGGTCGAGGACACCTGCTCTAGCAAAGTTTTATTCTCTGAGCCGACACCAAAGTCCAAGGTAATGACTAAAATCCACTGACTCATTATAACAAAATAATGAGTTTACATATTTTTCTACATCAATCATTTGAATCTCAGTGACACCAAAATGTCCAGGATGGAAAGAATCATTTAGTATGGTTAGATGTTGATAGATAAGTAACATCTATCAACATCTAACCATACTACCATACCATATTCTTTATTGTCTTTTTAAAAAAGTGATTTTTTTTTTTTAAATGTTACATACTAAATATATAAACCTGCCTAAAACTAGTGCTACATATTCACACCAACATTCCAGGTGACACAGAACAGCGGCACCAAAGCGTGAAATAGGCAACTGCAGCCACTGCAGCACAGCTGGATGATGCAACAGTTACCAGGGACAACAACAACAACAGCCACATCATGTCCAGGCTGACACACAGCAACACCGACGCAACTGCAAAAAAAAGAAAAAGAAAAGAAAGAGATTAAAAAAGAGAGACAGTGCTTTTATTTTTAGCCCGACTCTCACTGTTCCACATGTTTTAATTTACAGACACCTTTTTTAAATCAGCAGAGCTATTTCAGGTGGGCTGTGTCTGAGCAGAGCTGAAAGGTGTGGAGAGGAAGAGGAGCTGAGTGAGGCAGAGGTTCAGACAGTGGCTGTCTAAGGTCGGCTGGGTGGACTGAGGGTGGGGAGGTCGGAGAGGGGTGGGGGTGGGGGGGTTCTTTAGGAAAGACCAGTTGATGTTGACACCTGGTTCCTGGCTGTGTGCTTGTGTTCTGTTTTGCACCTGTGATGTCACCACATGAGAACGGCAGCCTCTTTGGAAAAAATAATTGAACACAATATTAAAATTATATATAAAAGATATTATAATAATTTTACACTGTTGAATAAAAGCTCTATTTTTCTTGCTAGGCTTATACGCATCCTTACAAACAACACAGAGGAATGACTACTGCTGACACAAACATGCACAAACAAAACTGTGAAATAAGTTTGACAATTGATCAATGTTAGAAAAGACTTGCAATATATCAATATATCAAAAATACACAATAATATGTAAAAATATGTAGAGTTGAAAGATTTTTCAAATGTTTAATTATACCATCTAAATTGTCATTGAATTGTACGCCACACAAAAACAGAATGTAAAACAAATGCGAATGTTAATCAGCCAGGAATATTTGGGCTACTCCTGGCTATGATAAAGTACCACCAGTCCTTTACTCTGGTCCAAAATTGATGAGAGCCTAATGTAGTCCGCATGCAAATCTGTACACGTGGCCCTACTTCCTTCTAATTAATGCTGGCTTTCCCGGTGAATATCTGGTGTTTTTGGTCGATATTTAATCAGGATGTCACATGAAAGGCTCCACGTTTGTTCCCCTTCTGGTCAACTAGCTTACCTTTAACCGGCGCGAGCTAACGCTTCGACCAGCTTGTGGCCCAGATCTGACAAACGGGAACAGATCGGCCAAGTGCCATCGTTTCCGGCCAAATGTGGGCCAAATAAAAGTGTCATATGTGCCAGGTATGAGCTGAACACCAGATGACAATTATTTTATATCAAAATAAACTTTTAGAAGCTTCATTCTCTGACGTTAGAGTCCACCCCCGTGTCATGCACTAAATAAACTGTTTAGAAAACTCAATCACTGCCCCTCTGCCCTGAGTGTCCACATGTGGGGGTAAACGCTGCACTGACCTTGCAGTTTGATGAAAGATGAACTCGCTGGCTGCAATGATTCATATTAATCCCTAACCCCCAACTCCTGATTGTCCTTCCACAGCTCACAAACACACTGCAGCATCACCCCCACCTCTCTAGCCTCTCTCCTCTCCCTGCATTCAAATCTTAGCCAAGAGAGTTACCATGGTTACCCATTCACCACAGTCTCCCGCTCTGTCCAGCTGTATCCCACCAATACCACCACCACCTCCACACCACTCCCTGGCATCCTCCACCCCTTCCTCTTCCTCCTCCTCCCCTCCTCCCTCCTCATTACCACCCCACACACACTCATACACAAATGGGACAAGGCTACACGAGCGAGTACGGCGTCAACATAAGGGCCGCATTACTGTAGGCCAGACCATTTGAGCGTCAGTGAATGATGCACTTTAATTTGTCCCGAGTGTCGCCGTCCATGACTAAGTGTCATAAAGGTGAAGAGTGTAAAGGTCAGGGTCAGCTTTCCTGTGAGTGATGATGCAGTGGCAGAGAACAAGGTGAGTTTAACTTAGATTCTTGTAAATAAAATAATTATAGACACAGACAAGAATATTGACTTGCTAAAGAAGAAGAAAAGGTCACATTTCAACACGTTATTTCGACGTGCCCAAACTGTCAATATGAGATTTTGACCTCAAATTTAGAAGCGGGGGCACTTTTAAATGCTTCACAAAAAGGGTCAAATCTCTGTCGGTCAAATTTTGTTTAACTGTCATTGAGACGGCTGAGGCATATCTCAAAAAAGTTAAATAAAACTGTTCCATCATTTTTTAGCATTTTTTTTAGACTCTTTTTTTTCTCGGTTCCTTACAGTAAAGGTTCATCTCCGAGCTGAGAGTTTGTCTCTGTGATACTGGTCAGAACTGGAATCTGTAGTCTAACCAATACTCTGACCCACTTTGGGGTATTTTTGTCATTTGAGAAACTCTGGATT